GGGTATGGAGGATGAATGACTTTCAGAATAGCCTGAGAGTCGTGAATAAAGAAAAACATTGCTGTGTTTATTTAGAGAGTATTACCCCTTGGAGCCAGCGTTTGCACTAATGCATTTTACATTAGCGTGCCGCATCAGGAAATCCTGACTTTTTGGTGCCAAGGGGGTAATTAATATCAGTTCACGTTTTCAAAATGGTTGTGTTTATGTGGGAATGAGGACTGAGCACTAACATGTTGAGCTTGAAGTATGAAAGCTTGCTGTGAAGTGAGATCTTGGGAAAGAATGGAATACTGAAATTAATGAACAGAAAATAGGATTTCTATGGATAGAATAATATTAGCACTGAAAAGAAAGCCACAGCTACACTTCCTTGCTCTTAACTTACTAAGCATTAAATAATTCCCTGATATAGGCCTATTGATAGAAGATAAAATCCTTGGTAACTATAAACAGTATTTTGATCTACTAATATCAGGAGTCCTCAAAGTTAAAAAATTTAATGATCTGTATTTAATAGTATATGAAATCAATGATTATTCCAAAATATCCTTCCAGAGCTAATACAGTTATACCTCCTATAGCTATAAAATTCTTCATATTTGATCTAAGCTGAATAATGAGAGCTACAATAGGTATAAAAACCAAATGCTTTTAGTACATCATTTTTTTTTCCAGAAGAAAAGTCGTGAAGGAAGCTAGAATCAAAGTACACTCTTCGTATAGTGCAAGTCAGAAGACTGAGGAAACCGCAAAAAAAAGCATTAGAGAAAAAGTGCAAAGAACAAATTAAAGCAGAAACCAAAATAAAAGTTAAAAACTGAAGAGATTTTATGAAGTCCTACCTAACACAATTCTCAAAATAAGTACTTAGAAAACATGCTATTTACAAAATTTGTTACTAGACACATGCCAAAATGATAAATATGAAGTATATTTTTACCAATACTTTAAAATTAAATCTATTGTTACTAAATATAGCATTAAGTTTATTCAAGTGATGGAAAGCAAAGGATGATCTTAAAGGAAATATAAAGAGTTTGTCCTACTTCATGAGTCAAGAATGATTAGTCACTGAATGATTATGAAGTACACTACACACACAATACATTAGCTTGTCATTCCTAAAAACTATTGACTCCAAGCAGAACATGCCATAGAGGAATGTGAACTGGCCTTCTACTGCATGATCCTACATTAGACTACAGGCTTTGCTGCTATAACAAAGAGCTTAATAAGACAGGAGTGTTAATTTTCTCACGTCGGAGTCCGTGCCAATAGGCAATAGAATGGGCTTCATGAGGCCATTCAGGGGATTTTTGGTTCTAGCTAGTTACACTGCCATTCTCTAGAATATTTTTCTAATCTATAAGGTCAAAGCTCCCCACTAATACATCATGTTCCAGCCCTTGGAAAATGGAAAAGAGAAAATGGAACACATTTTTAACGATGTGATCTAGAAGCTGCACACGTCACTCCAACTCACATCCAACTGGTTGAACTTAGTCATTACCATACTTAATTGCAAAGGATGCTATTAAATGTAGTCACTAGGTAGGCTGTTATGTGCCCACCCAAAACTTGGGGATTTTTTTTTTTAAAGAGACAGAAGAATATTAGGAAATAATTCAGTATTCCTTAATATAGACCAAAAATGATGAAAACCTCTCAGAATATTTAGGATTTTTATTCTATTTTAACATTAAATAATTATTTTTAATGTATTGTTCCATGAAAGATCTCTCAATATGTTACCACAGTTAAAGATTATAGCCTAAACAAAGGCATCATTTGCATACCTGAGTTCTTAAACTAGGGCTCTCCATCAAGAAAAAGATAAAATTATATATATATATATATGTGTGTGTGTGTATATATATACATATATATACATATATATATTTATCCACGTATGTACAAGTATATAACCCACATGCACATATATATTTATGCCTATGTACATGTACATACATTTATGTATGTGTATATAATATCCTCCTTCATTATCAAGTTTCCCAGATTAAGCAATAAATTATATGATCACCCTGCATACAGGTCTTTATTGAATTAATGAAAATTATATTGCATTGTCTATGTCTGAGACTTGGAGTTTTAAAAATAAAAAAAAATTTATATTGATTTCTTACTTTTTATAGTAATCAAACTGAAATAACTCTATGGAGATAATTAATTAGTAAGGTACAAAAAAATTAAAGAACTTGAAAACTTCCAATAAGAAAAAAACTCCAAGAGGTTCTAGTCATTCTATATAAAATCAAGTCACATTTCAGTAATTCTCTTACTGTTATGAAGCCAGTCATTGTTTATGCCCATGCAGTTAACTCTTATCCAATAAAAAACACCTTATCCAAAAAAAAGAAAAAAAGAACAACCAGAAAGGACCCACAACTTTATGCCAACAAAACTGTACTTAAGTGAATCTAACTAGTCTTTGAAATGTCATTAAATCAAACATGATTTAGTTATAATTAGTGTTTTAAATAAACAGAATATGGTGACATCTCAAATTAGTTGGTTTATTCAACAAATAATGTTGAAACAACCAGTCATCCACATAGGAAAAAAGTTAATGCTCTAAACCTTACCAGGTACAATCAATTTTAGAAAAATGGAAGCAAAAAGAGTATTTTTTTAAATAAATTTGCAAGTTAGGGAGGCTGCAAGAAGGTATGAAATTGAATATGTAAAATCTTAAAACTTTAATACAGTAAAAGACATCATAACCTAAGTTAAAAAATAATGAACAGACTGAAGAGATGTGCAATATATACAAGACACAGGATAAATAATTGCATAGAAAGAACTATATATAATTATACATATTTGTGCACACATATTTATATTATTTCCTCTCTCTTACACAGTAAATATCCCAACAGAAAAATGAACAAAGGACATTAAGAGGCATTTCCCAGCAAAAAATAATAAAGTGTCGTTAAGCATTTGAAAAGATGTTCAAAGTTACAAATAAATCAAATGTAACTCAAATTAAATTGTGAGACAGCACTTTTTAAAGCCTACTACAACTGTAAAAATTAACAAGGCTAATATTCTGGTGCTGGCAAGGATTTATTTTTTTAGGGGGATACTTTTTAAAATGTACATAGCCTTACACCTAACATATTCAAAATTTACTATATAGAAATACCTCAACAAGCATACCAAACAAACAAACAAACCCTTGCCAGATCGCTTATGAAAGCTTTGTTTTCCCATTATAAAAAAATTAGGAACAACACAGAATAAGGAGCATTCAAGATATTTAAAAAAAAAAGGAAGTTACAAAATAGTATGGCTAGTATATAATTCCATTTTTGTTGAAAGAGCCAAAACAGTAATAGATGTTGGCTTATGCGTGTAAAATCAAGTTGGAAGAAATGTATCAAACCTTTTAACAACTGTACCTTTAAGAGATGAAATTATGGGGCATGTTCACTTTTTGTGTAATCTATTTTTGCTGTCTTAATTATTTAACACAAATTACCTTTTTAAGTGAAAGAAAAAGCAGTGGTTTATTCATACAAATTTTGAGATGGTTTCTAATCATTAATACTGAAATTACAAAACTTCAAGAGCAGGAAGAGTCCTGGTACCAAAGTGTTTTTAAAAGAGTATAGTTCACTCTCTTGAACAACAAAAGAGTTAGGGGCACCAATTCCCTACCATAGTTGAAAATCCATGTATAACTTTTTACTCACCAAAAACTTAACTACTAATAGCCTACTACTGACCAGCAGCCTTACCAATAACATAAACAGTTAATTATATTTTGTATATGTATTATATACTTATTCTTACAATAAAGTAAGCTAGAGAAAAACTGTTAAAATCATAAAGAAGAAAAAATAGACTTATAACACAGTACTGTATTTATCGAAAAAATATCCACATGTAAGTGGACCTATGCAGTTCAAACCCATGTTGTTCAAGGGTCAACTATACTTATTCAGAGGTACTTAGCGAAATAATTCAAGGATACAGTGTTTGCTTCCATTTGTGGGTTGGTGTATAGACAACACAAGATTAGCCATGGCTTCCTAAGTGAACCAGTTACCTAAGTTAGGTTAATGGTCCATGGGGCTCATTATAACATCCTCTCTACTTTGGCATCTGTTTGAATATTCCACTAAAAAAATTAAAAACAAAACATGTGCCAAAAACAATGTGCCACCACAACTCTACAGAATAATGCTAATATATTCTTAAACAACTAAACTAGTACAGTTAAGTATTTTAAAATGTTGATCGATAACCACCAAGCTCTTTTTTTAGTAATGTTATGCTTCCAGAATTTTATAGGATGGCATGATATTTCTTCATTATAATACATTTTGATAAAATAATAACTTCAGTTCTGGGGAATACAGTCTATATGGGGAAGTCAAATTTGGTAGAAAGCTCCCAGTATAGTCAGTCTTCTTACTAGGTATCTAAGGAGTAAGGTAATTTTTGTCACCACCAATTAAAAACTTTTACGAAATAGGACTGTTATAAAACAATTAAACCTTGCAAATACACTAGTCTCTAGGAAGAAAGTCCTGGAGGAAATTCTGCTTATTAAAATTGCAATTTTAGTTTCCATTAAAAGGAGAATAAGACAACAGAAGATGGGTTGGCAAGACAAATTATTTCTTAATGTCCGTTGAGCTTATTTCAAATGAGATAACATATCTACACCAGGTTGGGTTCAGTACAATTTTGTCTCCTCAACTCATTTATCTAATTCAGTCATCTTGATTACAGCCTCATGGACTTCATTTTCAGAGAAAGAATTCTATAACAAACAGCCCACACAACATGCTGATTACTGAACAGTTAATTCTAATTAACTTGGGCATGGCAAGAGAATTTTGATAAAGTCCTAGAATACAAATATAGTCTGCTTATACCAGACTAACTTATATAAAAAACCCACAGCAAAGTCTCCAGACAAAACAAGAGAGTCAAAGAGATCTAATTTAAAGAAACAAATGAGAAAATTAAAATCACAAATAATTTATTCTTCCGTTAGAGTTGATACAGTTTTAAATAGCAACAAAGTACACAGTGGTGGAAAATTGGCACAGAACCTATAAGCATTTTCAATCACAATAAGGCTGTCCATGCTTTATCTGTTCAAACTTGATGTCCATTTTCTACTCACCAAGTTGAAAAAACTCTATTTGGACCTTAAAACACACACACTCTCTCTCTCATACACACATAGAAACACATTAAAATTCCTCCTTTTGATTACAGTATGATGAGAACAGTACATTTTGCTTATTCAAATTTATGGCACCCCTTCTGTTTTGTTTCCAGTTAGAAGTGGGAAAAACCAATTCAATTATAAAGAATACATCTTATTCCCTGGGCATAGGCAACTGTGATGAAAAGAGCAACTTACCTTTGGGCTAGATGTTTTCTGATTATGCTTAAATAATTGTGGTTATGAATTTGCCAATGCATGATTTCCTGCCCAATGCAATATTCCTGAATTTAGCTAAAATAATCAGGCACAGGACAGTCTCAAATATGATTAAATATGTCATGCTAATAAACAAAGTGATCTAGAATGCAACCTCTATGCTTTTAATACAGACCAGAATAAACCTCATCAATAAGCATTTTCCTAAACATCTCTCCGTGTTAACATTAACCAACATAAAAAGGGAAAAACTTAAAAGTGTCTTTTTATAAATGGCATTATTTTCAGGGAAAAAAGTTGAAATAAAGGCTTGTAAAGTCTCCCGAACTATTCTATTATATAAACCAATTGTCCTTCTAGTGTTAAAAAATAAAATTACTGGATCAATGTTGACTCTTCTTTGATATCATTTAAAAAATGCTTTGATACTACTTACTGAGTCCCCTGATGACTCAAACAAAGTAAAATTAACACTTCCATTTTCAGTTATTGCTATTTTAGGAGAGAATTACCACTTCATTTACATGAAACTGCTACCAAGATTCTTCAGATCCCACATGAAGTAATTCTTATTGCCTCACATTTTAAAACTGTATTATAAATGATCTTTATAAAAAGGTTTTAATCCACAAAACTGGAAAGCTTTTAAAAAAATGTCTTCTTACTCAAAACTATCACAGTGCCCTTGATTATCTAACAGATAAAAGGGATCTGAATTTCCTCTAAAGAACATAATAGTGGACATATGGTGTGCTTTGTCTTCTCCCTCACCTTTATCTTTTACAGTACACCATTTTAAGACCAACACAATCAAGCATCCACCATGCTCCAGTCCACATTAACAGAGGATTTCTGATTCTGTCCAATGCGTAGTGTACCGCCTTGCATATTCACCACATGAAATAAACATAATATACAAAATATTGCGGCTGTAAAAAGTGTACATTTCCCTCTTCCCCTTACAAAAGAATCTGTGGAAAAGTATTAAATTCCCTTAACCTTCATAAACATACAAAGCTGTTCACACCTTTCAGTCTGTAACAGTCCATTTGAAACACAGTTCCCAAACCATTGCAAATTGGTTATGTCATTGTATTTTCTGTCCAATGTTGCCATCTAGAGTAGAAATGTGAAATCAAGGGTATTTTTTTTAGCTACTAAAGCCTTACAACTAAGCCACAAAGGCTGCTTACTGAGGAAACAGCCACTTATCCACAAGGTTTTTCCAAAAACTAGATGGAATGGAAGGATCTCTTCACACAGAGGCGTCCACAGTGCTGAGGTGACAATATGGCTGCTAATAGATACTGGCTATTGGAATGTAAGTACTTTTTCACTGCTGGTAATTTCCATACTGTCCCTAAAAGATAAATTTAAAAACACAATTAGATAATGATTTCAGCATAGCTTGGCCATAATAAGTTTGGCACAGAAAATCACAAATAAATCTTAACACTGTCATACTACAGAAGTGACTTCATTGACAACAAACAAAAACTGTTATATATTTAGGTACATAGTATCTCTGTAACTGCTTCTGATATTACACTCAATTGCAAATGGATTTCAGAGTCTTTGAAACTAGAATAGTACCTGTCACATAGCAGGAATTTAAATGTTTGGTGAATTTTGTTGAACTGAACTGAGCAAGAATGAATGAGTTCTGGCTCTAAATTCTGCTGTGGTATGTACTGTGTATTAATTAAGTGCTAGTTTAACAACTTTGTGACTATTTAGCTTATTATAATTGCTATTATGAATTAACATCAATGGTATTTGGAATAAGTAGCAAGGATGGAAAGATGCCTGGGAGATAAAAGAGAAAAGAACCTTCCACCCATACTAAAGAAGCTGGGCTTTTCCCTAAGGCCAACAAAGTGTCAGCAAAGGCATTCAGACAGGCAGCTGGTACATAAAATCAAGGGAAGTTTGTTTTGTTTTTGTTGCTTTTAGTAAGACAGACTTGAAGTCATGCAGGCTGACAGGACAGAAGAGACAAAGAGAGTACAGATAAAAAGAGGTGATAAATGAAGCAGCAGAATTCTACAAGGGAGGTAAATAATGTCCAGTTTACAGCTGTTAGGGTTAGATTTTGGAGAAGAGAAGGAATATCTCTTCCTCTGAAAAAGAAAAAGAATGACAGAAGAAAAAAGAAACCTACTAGAAAATACATATTTTAACAAAAATTTCTTAAATGTGTTTAAAAGCCCAAAAAAGTATATCTGCAACCATTAGCAAATTCCAGAATTAAAATGTGTCCTAAAAGCATTTATTTTCGGGCGCCTGGGTGGCTCAGTTGGTTAAGCAACTGCCTTCGGCTCAGGTCATGATCCTGGAGCCCCGGGATCGAGTCCCACGTCGG